TCAAAATTGTAATTTTACATTTATTTTGATTTCACGTTCCTTTTATATGTTAAAAAAAATCATCTAATAATTGTCATTGAATTTATATCTGTAATTATAATTTAAAATGTTCATGTTTTAGTCAATTTTTACTACGGTATTTCAAATTGGAGAATGAAAATATGTTCGAAAAATAAAAAAAACGTTTCCAAAAAATGATGTGGAAACAGTACAAATTACTCGATTAAACCATACGCCATGGTAGATAAATCTTCAATTATTAATTTAATACCACTATGCACGGAATTGAAGTTTGCTAATAACTTCCCCATAGAAGACACGGGCGGATCTACGGGAGGGGGAGGGGTGGGCTTTCGGGCTGAAGCCCCCTCAAAATGGTAAATTATACTCATGTTTTATCGAAAAAAATATTATAAAGTATCTCTTAAAGTATTATTGTTCGAGTAATTACATTTAAAAGGGCTTTAGGAATCACTTAAACACCATTTCATACAGGTAGTTAGTTTCTTTCTTTTTTTCCAAAGTAATTATCGTTATTTTTACGAAAAAAACAGCTTTCGGGCTGAAGCCCCCCCCTCTCCAAATGAAATCCTGGATCCGCTAGTGATGGAAGACGATTTTACGGAAATCATTACGCTCCTCAAAGCTCTAATTAAACGTTATTTATTGAAACAACTCTATTGGAAACTTTTCAATAATTATAGAGTACAGCAGGAACTAAGAAATAGAAACAAATAAAACAACAGAACGACATTAATAAGTATTTTTTGGGTACCCAAGCTACTCTTGACGGCCTATAAAAATAATTTCGAACTGTTACCATAGTTCCTTTGATCTGAGAAAGCAGAAGGAGCAGGCTGTAGTGGACTTGAAAGATATTGTGGGACAACGGCATGCTTTCCTTCTTTAATAAGGTATAGAGATATAGCTAAAGAAATTTATCAGTATGCATTCCAAATCCTAAATGGACACTCCTAACTTGGTGCGGTGAACTTCCTAGAGTTTTATATTTGATGCGACTGGATCGCAAGAACTAATGTCCTTCCGGTTTAATATTTCTTCTCGAGACTTCCATTAGGGAATGAGCATTAGCTTCTGGTTTACAGCAACCTGAATCTTTATCATTTCGCCTTCTCCATAATGAAACAGCTAGGTTTGTTTAATACAGGATCCGGCAGTGAGACTGAACGATTTGTAAATTAAATTATTTTACGTATGTGATTCTTTTTGGCTGTCCCGTATATCTTTGAAGCATAGGCCTAAGTGGGCTTAATTAAGTAAGTGTATATATATATATATATATATATATATATTATATATATATATATATTAAATGAATAACTTTCAGGACTATCACCAACGCTCTCTGGTAGAGATGGGCATCGATTGTCGATTTTATTGAAATATTGACCTTTTCTTTCCGATATTTTACCATCGATAATATTTCCTTTGATGTTGACATCGATATCGTCTCTTAGATATTTTAATTTAAATAAACCCTCATATCAGATTGAAATGACTAGAAACCGCCCGACGTTTTCGACTACTGCAGCACTTAGACAAACGCTCTAAGCTTTCAATTAATTACAAAAGACTAATTTACATGACTATACTAAGACCTATTTGGACTTACGGAGTTGAGCTATGGGGCTCCATCAAACCATCAAATTCCTCTCGTATCCAATCCTTCGTAAAATCCTCAATGCACCTTACTTTGTCACAAATAAAATAATCTATAATGACCTTAATGTTCCATATGTTTCCGATTTGGCCTAATCCAGATACCTGTCCTTCCATATCGAACTGCAGAACCATCCGAATCCTCTCGTTTCAAACCTTGCTTCCTCCTCGATCCCTGATAACCCTCCGAGGCGTCTGAAAAGAAGATGGCCTTGGGACCTTCTAATATAAAACTTTAATTTGAGTTCTACCAATGGGTAGTTTCTCTTCATGTTGTACATGTCATGTTACCAATGTCACATTTACTACAAAAAAAAAAAATTAAAACTACCGTTTTCGGCTAGACGCTAGGAACTATATATGAATGTGATCGTTAGAAAAAAAATATACGCATCTTGTCTGTTTCATATAGAAGTAGAGGAAAATATCGATATTTCAATAAAACCGACTATCGATGGTCATCCCTAAGTAGAGTTGAATAGCGTGTGTCGAACCCCTCTCACTCAGTAAACTTAATTTGACCAAATTTGTTGGTTGATGAAAATATCGAACATCGATATTTCCAGTCCGATATTTTGACAGTAACGATAGACCGATATTAATTTTGATAACAATATCAAAAGCAGTCGATATCCAATCCCTGATAGGTCAATAACATTACTTTACACAAAGACCTTGAGATCTCAACAGCTAACGACCACATCATAAAAGACTTCGCAATAACTTACACGGGCATACTAATTCACTGATTCAAGGTTTGCCACGACTAACATGCCCGATAGCACCTGTAGGAGGCTCAAAAGAAGCTGGATGAGGGATCTCGTCTACTAAATAAAAATATTAAAATCAAAACAGGAAAGGACGCCGCTGGGCAATCCGCGCAAGGACTTATTCCAATTTATGCTTCTTGACATCACACATTCGTTTTTATGTATAAAGTAAAAGAATAATAATCTGTCATTATATATTGCATATCAAAGTCCTCCAACACTGTTTAGGGACGAGATTGAAGCACAAATCCTTCAATATGTAGAGTAATCATGTGAAGTCATATAATTCAGACACTCTGAAAGAGGGCATATGGTTAACGAAGTGTTGAGAGTATTTTTCTTTTGTTGTTCACTAAATGTCTATTTTTGTATTCTATATTTCTTTGTATTTAAAAAGTTATTCATATTTATACAATTTAATTTTGAAATCATCCCGTTTCATTTTTATGGAATTGTGTTCGCATCTGTGATGGAGGGAATAAATCACCGTCTTAGACATCAGACGTTCAGACATTTCCCAAACTACGGGAAATACAAATATTTAAATAAGCGTTTTTTCCATGTTTTTGATGTTTTCTATCCGCTGTTGGTAACAAGTGAAATAAAAAAAAGTAAAAACACTAAAGTGTGTGCTTTAGATCGCAAGATATAAGTGAAAACTTCAACAAGGCTATATTAATAATATGAAATATAAAGTATAAATAATTGCCCATTACAAAAAGGATGAAATGCTGAACATTTCTGTCGGTTATAGTATGCAGCTCAGATTTTTAGTTTCAGAGATATTGTAATCCATATCGGTGTCGCATTATGATACAATTTTGAATAATTGCTCATTACAATGAGGATGAAATAATGAACATTTCCCTTGCCAACAATACGTAGGTCTGACTTTCAGTTTTTGAGATATTGCAAAAAAACTTCAGTATGTCGATTCCAGCTGATTTTATCCTACTGTTACATATAGGAAATCTGATGGCTCAATCTAATTCACTCTCCACAAAAAAGTGCAAAACGCCCCTAAAGAAATGGCAGTGCTAATTTTTATAATATTTAAGTTAGATAATTGTGTTTCCCTTAGTTTGAGAAGTGTCTAAACGCATATTTATATTTCACTTTTATTTATTTTCTATAATAAATTATCATCTTAAATTAAGCAAATTGTTTAATAATAAACATTGGATATCTGTAAGCAATAGAATTAAGATACAAATTGCTAATACATTGAATGTACTAATTTATAATCTAGAAGTAAATATTGTATGATATTTAAGAAGTTCCAGACAAGTGAATGCGTAATGGAGATATAATGCAAGTACTCTTTTTCTTTTTTGCCTACACACGTGGCTTCAGTGAAAGTAACGCATTGAATATTTAATAACAGGTTACCGAGCAACATGTTCCGGCTGCTTCGGAAGGTCGTCTTCAATATCGGTTCTTGTTCGAGATTAATAACTTGCTGTCGGAATTATAAATTCCAATTTTAAAAGTAGATTTATGTGTTTTCGGAGAAAGTATGCATAATTGCAGTTATTGGAGTTCGAACCTCTTTTAATACTCGGCACATCTTCAAATTCCTTTGTTACTCATTCACTACTTTCTTGAAATTTTTAAGAAATATTACATTTAAGACTACTTTTCTTTTCTTTATTTTACTTTCCTTGCAGTTAAAAGTCGTAAATATATATCACTAATTCCACAAATTGGACAGATTTAAATTTAAATAAAAAATCATTCAACGTACATTGCGATTGGTGTATACGTTCTTAACAGGTATCCTAATGGTCTTAATACTTAGTAGTTTTTCTAAATACATATGAATTCCACCAACTTCTTAAGATAATTGAATAGACTATATCGTCGGTTAATTGCAAAAAGTCACTTAGTGAATTTTTGATAAAAGTTAACTTTTAAATATAGTTTTGTCGATTTCGATCTATTTATTTATGCATACACAAACACTTGTAAGTGCGTGAAAATGTTTTTTATATTCACACACCTTTTTATTTATCATAAAATTCATCAAAGTTCTTAATTCTTTGAGGTTATGAAATATCACTTAATAAGTTTTTGAAAAAAACCGTAGATATTACATTCAGCGTTTACACCATATTTTTTTTTTTTTAATTTCCATTTTGGTATCAGATTTTCCCACTGAACGAACTTGAAAATCCCTTCTGCTCAAATATATAGCAAATAATACGTAACATTAAATGTAAATATTAGTTTTATGTCTGTTTTACTTATATTATTAAAACTAATACTAAACAGTGCTTTGATTTATAAAAATTGTTTCTCTTTTTTTCCCTTCCCAACCTTGGAATTTCACTAAAAATGGAACTTTTTCCACTAGTGGATGCCCTGATTACATAGTACATTGAAGTATGTAATTTATTAATTGACCTTGTTTTATGATTTATTAAAATTTTAATTTCTTTGATAAATACAAGACAAATTTATACTCCCGCCTACGCCTCGTTCTACGTTCTACATCTCTTCTCTCTTCAGACGATTGCTAGCATTCCCGTGTTTAGTTCTTCATTCATAAATCATCCTGCATCTCCAACCGTTCCTTGCCGAACATAAAGCGGGAAGAGTGGACTTATTAGTGTCCTTGCAGATGAAGGTTTTGGTAGAATGTATGTTCCAAGAGCTGGTTCGATAGGCCGTTGCGTATAGGATGGTGCTGTACCGTTGTGGCCCATTGTCCGCACACTTTCGTACCGTTGGATTAACCGATGGACCTGGGCTTCCGCTTCGGATAGAATGTTGATATTCATTTATTTGAGGTAGCTAAATACGACAAATGGGTGTCACTTATATGCCATTGTGATTAAATATTGAGGTACAAAGTATGTCACTAAAGATCCAATATTTAAAAAAAAAAAAATACACTTTATATAATACGGTATTATAGATATACCTCGTAGGAGTGATGGATATTTAAGAATGAGGTATCAAACGAAAAGGAATTCCAAAGGGAAGCGAAGAATTCTCATTTCGATTCTTAAATTTCAATGACTATTATAGTAGAAGACATTGAAAAAAAAATGGAGGTTTCAAAGCCCAGATGGTCTCACAAATCGACAAATCGGATAGGATAAACTGTGTCTTAGAGATAAACACATATGTTTGCATTTTAAATTAAATATTTATAACCCAAAGTGAAAATGAACAAGAGCTTTCTAAATATATCTCTATTATGAGAACTGATTCTTATTTTCAAGCGACCAACAAAATATTTTTAATCCTAATCTTTTGTATTTCAGAGACGATTATTGAAGTAATTAATCAGCAAACTATCAAATTCATGTGCAATACAGTTTTTTTTTTTTTTTATAAAAATAGGACTTAAAGTTTGCTGGCACTATAGTCTAATATTGGAACAAACCTATAATATACACCTACCAGTAATAAATCCATATGTGCTTGTTTTAGGCGAAAATTTTCTAATATTATAAAATAAGGCTCTATTTATTTTTTCACCATATTTATTTTAATTTTCATAGCTACGTTTCGGCCGGAAAAACCATCTTCAAGCCATCTATAATATAAACACCATTTATTTTATATTTTAATGTAATTCTGCACTCTATGAAGGTGGTATTGGTCGTATTTAATTAAATATTTTATGAATCATAACTCTAATTAGGTTAAGTCAATTTTTTAAATTTTGTATTTAACTCTACCAGTTAAATTGTAAATTAACAGTACCACTAAATAAAATGAGGTTGCTTTTTATTTAAATACATAAGTATCAGGTTTCTCCTATGTTAAATGTGCTATTTTTATTTTCACTATTGCTATTTTTACAGTCCTTACAATTTATTTTGTATATGATGTCAGTTTTTTCATTTTTATATATTTTGTCTTTATTATTGGTGTAAATGTTTAAAATTTTGTTTTTTGATTTTCTACTAAACCTTAAATCTGCTAAGTCATATTTCTTGAATGTATTGGATATTTTGTCCAAGTAAGACTATTAATCTGTGTTAGGCAATACATTTTTTTAAACTACCAGTAACGTGTATATGAGAAAACACTTTGAGGACTTATATATAGATTTCATTTTGTATCAGTCGTTCGTTCTAACAAAAAATATTTTTTTTAAATTTTGTCTCCATAAAATTTCGAATTGACCAATGTATACTTCAGGGATTCAGGATAACCTTTGCAGCCATAACATTCTAAACAATGATCGCAATAGCCTGGCTTTTTATTTATTGGATACAATAGATTAATTCCTCTTTAAGTATCCGACAATAATTAAATATGATGAGTTATATTATTTTCTTCTGTAAGCGAAATAATTCTAAGATTTTCATATGATCTTGTGAAAAAATAATGATGTGAAGGAAGCGAAAGAGCTGTGTAAGCCCGTTGCCACAATGGTTTTGGTCACGCACCGGTTGAGCTGGGAATGCAGGGACCTCTATATGCAAATCCTGAGGCTGCAACGATGTCAGGATCGTATTAAGGAAACTATCTTACGACAAGTAGTCTATTAGCATTCTTATTCACTCTTAGTATGTCGATTGGCAAATTATGGCGAGCTGATCTGATTATTTAATTATATGAGATACAACAATGTCAAGTTAATAAACGGAAAATCGCTTTTAAATTTTGCTTAGAATAATAATGAGTAAGTTATAGCAGGATTAGAAGTGATTTCGGCTAGTATTTTCTGTATGGACTGTTAAATCGATATTATCTATAATCCTCCGAGAAAACAATTTCTAATTTAAATGTTATAAATATATCGCTACTGCTAGTGCAAAAGGTCTTATGTAAAAAGTGAGTTTTTTTACAAGTGGGCATAAAAACTGATTATTTCTTTATGATTTATTAGTACAATTTTATATTTTATTCTGCTATACTATTTTTCATAGTAGCAGAATATTTTTGCAGTTGTAGACGACAAAATGTCGCCTTTATCACAAAAATAATTAATATAGAAAATTGTAACATACGATCTTTTGCACTTACCGTAGCGATATATATCTTTAATATTTAAACATTTTTTTTAGTTATATTTTATTTAACATATACAAAAAAACAAAACAATACAATCTGAGCTACAGAATACGTGCAAATTACAGTTATACAATTTGAGCAAAGATTAGTACAATTAAATGAGCAGTTGTGTAAAACGGGGTTTGGTCCGCCGTTATAATTTTTATAATATATATATATATATATATATATATATATATATATATATATATATATATAACGTAAATTTTTGTCAGTAGGTACATTTTTAATGAAGCTAAACTTTTAAAAAGATTTTTGTGAATTTCAGCCTTATTTATTTAAAAAAAAATACAGTAGCTCCACCAAAATAATGGAAACCCTTTTATATATCAAATATTGTTACACCTAGCCCACAATTTTCTGATTTCACAAACGGGAAATTCATCAAAGTTCTTAGTGATTTAATGTTATGAATACTCCATTGGCTTTAGCACCAGTGACGCGGTTGAGAGAGTAGCTCAGGGAAGCCTGGCTTTGGGTTCCCTGCCTGATTGTATATATTGTATATAGGTATGAGTGTATTTTTATGTTTTTAATTTACTTATCTTTAGGTTATTTTATTTTTTATTGTACATAGTTTTTGATTATTATTTTACTTTAGTTAGTTTTATATTTTCTGTATATATGGTGTGCATGTGTTCATATATCACTATAATTATGGTCCACGTGACAGATTATTGTATTTCTAAATAAAAAAAAAGTTATGAAATGACGCTTAACTGAATGAATTTATATATATGGTTTATAAAAGCGGTCCGTAATAAAAATTTAATGTCAATGTGTTACATATATATATATATATATATATATATATATATATATATATATATATATATATATATATATATATATATATATATATATTATTTGGGGAATATAAATAAAAAGTTGATGTTGAAGTTAATAATAATTACTGACTGTTAATAGTCAATTTTGTTATTATTAATTGTTAATGTTAGTGATCGGTATATAATCTATACTGTAGATTATCGTAAGAGAATTTGATCGTTAGGTGCAACAAATTGATTATAAAGTGACTGATTCTATTTTGTTCATATTGAGTAGTTTATGTATTTTATGTTCGTCGAATTATAAATATATTATTTTATTTAATTGCAGTCATTGGCATCAGCTCTTCTTTAGCCAACAATCCTGGTAATTAATTAATTGATGAATAATTAATAAAAATATGTTGTTGTAGCTTCTTCGTCTGTCCATGTAGTTCAATTTATTTTGAAAATCAGCTCTCCTCTTCAGGGAATTTCAAAATACTATGTCGATATATCAATATCATCATCTTAAATATATAATTTTGGTAATAAGTAAGTGGATTCAGACTGAGAAGGCAGATGTACCAATATACATTTATAAACTAATTAGAAAAAATATTAAAAAATTTTCTTTCCTCAGTGGATTCCTCAGTTAATTATTAATTTATGAGGCCCTGGCTATCTTTTAATTAACAATTACTGATTCGATACGCCATTTATATACCATATTCAATTAAATCACAACCGTTATACTCGTTTGTATGTTCTTTGCAAGATAAAAAAGCACTAAGATTAAAAATATGTAAAGGATGTTACACTCGCTAACAAATATGTATACTGCTAGACGATTCAGAGTATTTCATTATTGCATAAATATGTCGAATAAAGAAAATAAAAATGAACAACTCTTTATGCTTTTTGTAATTAAATTTTTTTTTTCAATATCTAGAATTAAGAATATGTGTGCCGTTTAGAATATTACTAAAATATATTACATTTATAACATTCTCTCTTCAAGAAAGTGTTGATATTTAGATGTGCTCTTCCATATTTCCGAGGACTATTAAGAGAAAATGAACAATGCCTTTGATTTATATATTTTAGTAAAATTTATATTAATAATGGCTCATACTAATATTTATTTCAAAATTCATATTTTTATATGGTATATTTGTATTTTATATTTCTCTACAAACTGAAAGTGGGCGTCTTAAGTGGATGACATGGGTATTTGAGGAAATAGCATAATAAAAAAAATTGATAAAATAGAAAATGAAGGGCATTTTAGGTGAATATTATGTCAGTCTTCATTTTGAGACATAATCTGAATGATTTTATGATTCGTAATTTATTTATGAAAAAAAAAAATTAAAAACCGTATGATGATTCGTGTAGTTATGAATTATAACTAGAGAAAAGAACATCACATAATATGTATATAAAAGAAATGGTCATTGTTACAGCAAGTGACTTTATACGTGCACGTTCAAAGACGTAAACAAAAAAAAGAAGAGAAAAATGAATTTTCACTCCGTCCGTAAACATTCGAGCAACAAGATGAAAATACCACTTGGTGAAGAAATGGTTGCTGCCTGGAATATTGTAAAAAGTTTACAAGGGCTATTACCAAGACAATGGTTGTAGAAAGAAATCTTTAACGATGGGAACAGAGATCGCTTCCCAGACTTATAAGGCGCGCCAGTCAAAACTGTCCTATTTTGTTTTAAACAAGATAAAAATTATGTTTTTTCGGCACTATCATTTTTTCGGTTAGAAAAATATATATTTTTTTTACTTTGAGATGGATTATTGTTGTCATACAGCCTTAAGGAGATTGAAAAGAAAATGGATGAAGTACCATTTCATGGAACCAAGCATTTTAATTATGTTAAAGGATAGTTGATTGTTTATTAAACAGAACTAACTTTGGATCTTCTACTTTTAGCACAACAGTAAATTTTTGGACTGGAAGTTGGA